TTTGTTTATTGGGTGTGAATGTTTTTCTCTACCGCATATATTCTTGTTTTTTTGTTGCTTTTTGTATGATTTATGTTGGTCATAACGTAGTATTTACGCAGGGTTTGCTTGTACCCTTGGTTTGAGTTCTGTTACTGGTGAACTCTTTATACTTTAGTAATGTTGGTATTTGAGAAATTTGTTCTAATTTATTGCTTAAAGACCCTAGGTGTAGCCAAGATCGTCATCTTGAGGCTTACCCGATTTTGTTTTTCTCGTTAGTGGAAGGTTATGACCCTTCTACACTCATGTCACATGTTATTTCGTATGTTTTCTATAACGTTATTGATGTATATGTTTTGGGAGAAAGGTTATGAGCTATTTTTATGCAAATTCCCTGGCTGCCACCTTGTAACAAATTTGCTCGTGTAACGTTGGATGATCAGCCCTTATTGTGACACGGTAAATGTACACAGCCTCTTTGTTTTATTTTTCAAGCTTGAAAATAAGGAGCATCTGAATTTCCCTTTCTGTGTACTCTAGTTTTGTTTAGAGTCTAATAAGATTGAAAGTAGTAAAGTAATTTTGCTGATTACATTTACATGTTAAAACTAATACACAACGACATTGCTAGCATTGATTCTAGCTTTAACACTCGTTTTAAGAGTGAAAGTGTCACCGGCTCTGCGCATTACATTAACTATAGTTTTTTTTGATATCTCAGTTTGTCCATTGGCCTGAGGATGCACTACTGATGTGAATCGATGATGTATTTTCTTGTCTTCGCACCACTCCTTAAAGGGACTTCAAATTGCTTGCCGTTGTCATTTATGAGGATCCCGAGGAGTTCCAAAACAGGCCAAGATTTTCTTGGTCATAAAATTTATCATCTGCTTGCCAGTGAAGATGGCCATTGGTTCTGCTTCTATCCATTCGGTAAAATAATCAACGACTACTAGCAAAAACTTCACGCCCCCCGATGCTAGTAGGAAAGGTCCCATTATGTCGATCCCCCATTATTGGAAGTGCCAGGGGCTGGTGATGCTAGTCAATGGCATGGTTGGTTGATTTTTGAAAGGAGCGAATGTTTGGCACTCTTTTCATCTCTTGGTTAGGGCTGCAGCGTCGTTGTACACATCTGGCCAGTATACACCTATGCGGAGTATTTTGCCTGTGAGTGCGTGAGTGCCTTTGTGTGCCACTGCATCCTCGGAATGGCTTTCTTCGTGGAATGTCTGCAACTCTATTTTAGCGACGCACTTGAGCCATGAGCTTAAATACCCTATTTGGTATACTTGATTGTCCCTGATTGCAAAATGCGGTGCTCTGATTTTGACTTTTCTCGCCTCCTTTGGGTCGTCCAGGAGCACGCCACGATGCAGGTAGTTGACATAGGGTTTTCCATTCTGGAGGGGCTGATATTGTATTGACATTTTTGTTATCGATACTTCTTTCTGGGAGTACTTCAACTAACACTTTTTTTTCTAAGATGATCATATGAAGTAGAGGCCAATTTACTGAGGGCTTTTTCCCTTGCATTTTCCCCCGGGAGATTTGTTTTATTGAAAACTTTTGAATGTGTTGGCTAAGCTACAGACTGCATCTAGGTATTTCTGTATCTTGGGGTCCATTCCCTCATATGTTTTGTTTATTTGCGTTGTGATAAGTAACAAATCACTGAGAGCCGTTAGTTGTTTTGTGCCAACCTCCTTGGATAGCCTCAGTCCTCCTAAGATTGCTTCATACTCCGCCTCATTGTTTGATACATGGAAGTCCAATCATAACACGTTAGTGATATCTTCACCCTTGGGGCTTTGTAGGACCAGGCCTATGGTCGGACCTTTCATGCTTGCTGCGCCATTGGTGTATAGCTTCTAGAGTTCTTTGTTGGCTTCAGGCTCGATTGGGTCGACGGAGATCATCGTCGGCACTCCCTTAATTGTATCTAGAATTTCAACATGGAAGTCTACGAGGGCCTAGGCCTTGATTCTAGTTCGGTGGTGGTAAGAGATATCATTTTTGCCTAACTCTATGGCCCACTTGGCCAGGCGCCCAAACTTTTCCAGCTTTAGTAGCACTTGCTTTATTGGATAACGAGTTAGAGCATCCACCTTGTGGGATTGAAAATACCTCTGTATCCGTCTGACAGTGTATACCAAGGAAAGGACTAATTTTTCTAAGGCCGGGTAATTGACCTCTGGTCCTTGTAGGGCCCTGCTAACAAAATGGATGGGAACCTGCTGCCTTCTGTTTGGTTTGAGCATAACATCATTCCTATGGTGTAAATGCAACCCTAATTGCTTTGGATCTACGTGTCTCTAGTTTGAACATACAACTATGAATACCAAAGCAATAACCCTATGGACTAGCATATGAAAATTAAAATTGACATATAAACTAGGGTTTAGATCTTACCTCTCTTGTTATGTAGCAATAACAAGTTCACCTTGAATATCCTTGACCTTTGAAAGCTTAGTTCCTCAAATGTTGCACCTCTAATGGAGTCACAAACACCACTAGCAACATAAAAGAACAAGAGAGAGAGAGAGAGAGAGAGAGGAGGCTTCAAAAATGCCTAGGGTTCTCTTAGAACTCTTGGGCACGTTTTTGGGAGCTAATGGAGTCCTTTTATAGTTAGGCTTTTAGGGTTTTGAACATGAAACCATAATTCCCTTTGCTTAGGCCCTAATCAACATATGAACTCCCATTGGACAACCTTGGACAAAATCTTTATGGGCTCTGATATAGATTTCGTCCATCTTATACCAAAAATGTCCATGAGCCCAAACTTTAAATATTACTTATTTACATACTCAGTCTCTGCTAATTTAACCAATCTCTTTTCATCACCAATTTAATTCCATATTAATTTCTGATCAATACTAATTAAATAATATAATTTCTTAATTAATATATTATTCATATAATGTATTAGTAAATCATAATTAATCCTCTTTCTCCATAATTCATCCTATCAGTTGCTATGGTGAAGGAAACCCAAAAGGACCATCCTCATAATCAAATTAGGTACATACCAAAAATAGTTATGGGGTTAGATACCTAATCCAACGGTCTCTCACTTGGATAAGTCCAATAACTATTATTGCAAATACGCCTTTAGAATCTGATTAGTAATCATAGTTTTCAAAATCCGCTGTGGAACTCTAATCTTATTAGAAACACATCCTTTAGATAAGGGGTCATATATTCCTCCATTATAGATATCGTATGATCCGAGACATGTATTATAATCATTCTCTCTGTTCATGTGTTGTTTCCCGATTTCTGATTTATGACGACTGACAACAGACTACAATTGAACACATAAACTTAGTCCATGCTTAGCCAAGCGCTTAGGGTATCATCACGAAATCATCGAGGGGCCCACATATATCACTTTTATCCCACATTTGGTAAAAGGAACGACTTTGACTCATATGCTTGTTCTATTTACTCATCAAATCACACACAACAAGTAGTAGAACAAGCATATGAGTCGAAGTTTATCTGCTCCTTCTAGAAATAGAAGCGATATCTGGGCCCCTCGATGATTTTGTTGTGACCTATGTACCGGCCGGTCAGAACTAAATTGATGTGTTCGATTAAGTTCTTTGTCAAACAAATCGAAAATCGGGAAACAACTGTTGGATAATAAGTACGATGTTGTTCCATGTATTTGTCCGGCTGATATCATGAGAATAGAGGATTATATGATCACTTATCTAAAATGGTGCTTCTTAGTTCAACAGAGTTTTCGAGAGCTACGATTGCTGGTTGGTTCCTGAAGTAACATACGCAAATATAGTTATTAGACTTATCCAAGTGGGAGTCTGTTGGATAAGGTGCCTAAGTCCATAACTTATTTGGTATATACTTGACCCGACCCGGCATGGTCCATTTGGGTTGCATTTCATCCAAACTATTTATGGATAATTTTATGAGAGTTATACACATATGATTATTAATATATTATAAGTTATAATATATTAATATGAAGTCATGTTATTTAATTAGTCTTAGTTTTAAATTAATTATGAATTAATTTAGAGATTAAAAGGAAGACTAATTAGATTGTGGGCTATTGGTTTTATATGGTGTGGGCTAACACTCTTTTATTAATGGGCTAGGCTTATATGGAAGTCCATAGATGATCCATGGAGCTTTTAACCCATGGATCCTTGGAAAAGGAAAGGTCATGGGTTATTAGGGTTTCACCCTAACCATGCACACTATATAAGCATGCTTATGGAGCATGAAATGTGGACTAGTGAAACTAGTGTAACTAGAGTATGTGTGTTTGTGTGTGACCGATTTTATAAGTGTATATACACTCTCTCAAAGTTTTCCAAGAGTTTGTGGTGTTTTGTGCACTACTAGAAAAACAGCCTTTTACGACGCTCATTGCGCGTCATAAAAGGCTTAGACGACGCGCAAATGCGCGTCAAGGAAGGCCCTGTCATAAAGAGAGACGACGCGCTTTTGAGCGTCGTCTATAGACGACGCGCATTTACGACGCTCATTTACAACGTGCAATGACGACGCGCCTTTAAGACACGCAATGCGTATCAAGGAAGGCCATGTCATAAAGGAAGACGACACGCATTCGTGTGTCGTAACCTTACGACACGCATGTTAATGACACGCAATGCGTATCAAGAAAGTCCCTGTCAAGAAAGTCCATGTCATAAATGAAGACGACAAACATTTTTGCGTATCATAATTTTAAATGTTTTAAAAAAATATTATTTATAGATTTACTAATTTTCAAATTAAATAATACATTAAAAATCTCATAAAATAAAATACCATAAATAACAAAGATAATTCATTTCACTAATATGTCAAATACAAATAATTATTCCAAAAGTGAATAAATGTTATAAAAAAATGAACTCATTTATATACAATTGCATCATCTAGCTTACTATGTGCCAACAACTCTCTATGTGTTTACTTTTTCTTGAATCTCGTTTCCTCCAAAGCTTCTAGCCATGCCAAAATATGATATCTTGAGTCTCGTTTCAAGAACCAAAATCACCTTCAATCACCCAATTAAACTCTAATGTTGGTAGACTGAGAGTTCCAGAATCAAGTTTACATCCATCACCTTCAATCACCCATTTAAACTCTAGATCTTCTGTTGTTTGAAGGAAATTGGTGTTTGTAATCTATGAACAAAAAACGCAAAGACCAAGGTTAACATTTGGTGAACGAAAATTTTAATTGGTTGATAGCAATACTTGACCTCTGAAAACAAATAAACAAAGGATCACATCATCCTTACCTCAATGGTTTAAGCTACCAAATTACCTTTGAGAACCAACAGGTGAAAACACTATGTGACCGGCTGCTCTTGTTGTTCATATTTATTCCTGCCACTTTTATATTTGCAGCACCCTGATAAAGCATGAAAACTAATTTTAAATCCAATATAATCATAAATAAGAAGTAACAAAGTGTAAAGGGGACCGATTGTACAATGTTATTAAGAGGTTTTATCTAACTATATATAACCTAAAATGTGTTATATTGTTATATTTATCTTACATAGTCCATGATTCCTATTGAATAACTTGACTTGTTATTGTATTAGTAAATTTATCACTCATTATAGCTTCCAAAACTTAGAATTTGCAAAGTTGTATTGTTGTGTATATCAAATACGTAAGAAACTATATCATTATTTATAACTATATGCAGTAGAAACCATCATCTAATAGGCAACATTGAACATAAATATATTACCAAAAGGAGGGCCCTTAGTGCAGCAGCAAAGGCATGGTTAACTAATCCAGACTTGAACTGTTATCTTGATTCCACAAATTGATTGATAATCAAATAGCTCTTGCATAAAGGGAATATTCTTTTCGATGATTCCTGCATTTTCTTGCAACATTTATTTCCCAAAAGTGAAAAGAGTTCCATGAAGTTATAGATACATACATATGTGCATCTATGTATGTATAATTGTATATGTGAAGATTCTTAACCTGGAGTGCCAAATCCATAGATCCGTCAACATTGAAGATAATAGAGTTATCATTCCCTCCAACTCTATTGATAGAAATATATGGTCCCTCAATTCCAACTAAAGCAGATAGAAGATCATCAATTACAGTCAGTTCCTGCATGTGTTGAAACATTATCACAAAATCTTCGCTTATCATTACTTTAAAATGATATTCTATAGTAACTTGTTTCTAGGTTTCAAAATTGACACTAGTTTAAAAGGCCAATAATTGCACAAGGAAGCATAAAAACAATTGTAGCTATACCTGAACAGAAGCATTGTAGCAACCTATCGGCTTCTCAGATTCCAATCTATACAAAACATACCACCAGACCTAGAAGGCTGACCTGGCACATAAGCACTGATTGAAATGAAATCTTTTTGTGCAACACATTCATACGCATTGATTATTGGATACCTGTTGATAAGATTAAGAGGAGAAAAGTTTTACTTGCCTCTTCACGTGCATACTGATCTGCCTAAGAGGTAGAGGAAGGGTCTGCATTATATTGATGTTGATATTCATTTTCCCAATCCCCATTTACATGCCTGGCCTCGTTATTATTTGCCAAACCAAATAAATAATATCCTGATTATAAAAAAATAAATAAAAAAAGACAATTTTAATTCAAAGTAAGTAAAGTAACCTGAAACTTTGGATTGGTGTTCTGAGCTAAAGTGTGTGCTAGCATTCGAGTCTGCTCCATAGCAGCCAAAGATGGAATGTTTGCACCTGCCATTCGGTCCACAGATGTCATCTGCGTTTTCTCCTGAAATCAAGAACATAATAATTAATAGTAAGTAAACATTCAATTATTATTTTAATTATTAAAGCGAAAGAGCTCACTGACATGCTAGAATTCAGATGCCCACATGAATCCTTTCCCAATTTTCTTCAACTGATTTATAGATGGGAACCTCATGATTGTGTGGACAAAGAGTTATCACTGCAGGCATGAGGCAACAAAGTCACTATTACAATCCTGCATAATAGGTGTGAGTAGAGAATAAAAGAAAAACATGTTGTGGCCATGTTATCATAAAAGTCTGATTACCAGGATGTTATGGTTTTTCAGGTATTTTTTATTTAAAATAATTTACTTACAGAAAGAGATGAATGTGAATATGAATAAATATTAGTATTTGTGTTCTGTTTGTTAGTTTCAGTCTACAACATATGTATACCTTTTGTGCTTCACTATCCACCCAGGCAAATGTGAGTCTTTTTTCCTTCAATGCTGACATGGCAGCTTGGTGTTGGTCAATTTGATTTACATTTTCACCAGCTGATAGTATCTCTTGGACCCTACGCATGTCTTTAACATTATAATATATATAATATTGTTCTTTAAAGAAAAGAAATAAAAGACTATTGTTTTATGAATTAAGATAAGAATCTTACTTAACGCATTTTAGGGAGTCTGTGGTTTGTCTTCCAATAAGAACAGCAAAATACCAAACTGTGGTGTTATTTCCAGCATGTGAATAGCCTTTTGGATCACAACCAAGCTCCATAGATGTAACACGTCTTAATTGGGGAAGCATTACTGAAAAAATAAATAATTAAATATCATATTAGGTGTGAAAAATGACAAAAATGATTTATGCATCTTCATGTTTATTTTGTTCCATGACATCAATAAGTCTTGAATTGTTGATTGAGCCATGGTAGACTACAGGTTTGACGTCGGGGTCTCTTAGAATAACAATGATAGGAGCTTCTTCCACACCAAATCTGAAATTATTATTATATATAATTTAAATTAATCACTAATTTAAACCATTGTTAAGGAGAGAGTTTATGGAAATTACCAAAGCGTCCCTAGAGTAGTAGAAATACGAGGTAAGCTTAGTATGGTTTTTATTTTTTAATAACAATAATATGGTTATTAACTTATTATTATTATCCGCATAAAGTAAACTCACCTCACAATGCAATCTGAGGATTTACAGCCAGGTGGAAGAGCCAAAAGTGAAGGAACACCTGTATCGTATCAATAACTTGGAGAATGATTAAATCATCCAATATTTTAATAAAAAAATAACTTGGGTATTATTATTTAATTATTACCAACCATTTCGATAGAAATGGGCTCCTGTATAGTTCTTCTTAGATAAATATGTCGCAAGCTTAAGATCACTAAAAATATTATTA